AGCTGGTTAGGAGGGCAAGTTCACGGGCTCCACTTCAGAACCAATGAATCAGAATCTCTGTGGTGGGGCCCAGAATTAGTGATTTTACAAGCTCTTTAGGTGATACTTATACAAACTTAAGTCAGAAAAACATTGCCCTATTAAATGAATGAGTCTCTGAAGGAAGAGACTCAGACTCAAATTTTAGAACCAAGACATGCTCCTGAAAGTTTCTGTTTAAATGAGAATTATGGGTTCCAGAAGAGAAGTAGGGGAGGATAAAGGGAACTCGTTGACTTCTTGAGGAGTCTGAATTCTTGAAACATGAGCCGAAATGATGATTCAAGTGGAACATAGGCATGTTACTGCAGACTTCCCTATCAAAGAGACCCATTGATAGAGGTTCCATCAAAAACTTGTTGGACATATGTCCAACATGGCTTAGAGGAAAAAACACAGCATAGCGCAACCTGAATTCTTCCATCTTTGTTACCTGCTGTGTAACTTTGGACAGTGATTCAACCTTTCTCGACCTCAGTTTTCTGTAAAATGGGAATATCACAACCTACTTCTTGTGCGAGATTTATAGTATTCTGAACATGAAGCACCTACCACAGGTCTGGCATGCAGGAGTGTCCAATAGATGTTAAATGTTAATTTCCCCTTTCTCTATCTCTTTCCATGCTTCTGTTCTCTCCTTACAAATCAAGAATAATGTATATGTTTCTTAATAGCTCTACAATTATAGGCAACTTGAAAATCCGTTTTCTTTTCCATTGAATCCCAGGCATTTTGACTATTATGTTAGGAGAGTCTATATGTTATTTAAATCTTTTATTAGGTAATCATTCTGCTTAGGTTTAGCATGCTGGTCCTGGCTTACTTACTTTTATGGGATGAGGTTCCAATGACAGTTTAATTTTCAGAGGTTTTGTGGTGCTGTTTTAGTCTACTCAGTTTATCTGTTGCCACTGGGGCTCCCAGGTCCCTGACAGTCCTGCCCGAGGAGCAGAGGAGATTCACCAAACTGAAGTCACCTGGAGTCTCTAGGCGGGAGAAGAGAATCTCTTAGCCCACAGGGACAAAGAGTGCTTCCTGGGCTAGGCCACTGGACGTGGCGGGATCCCCTGTAGGGTCAGAGGAGGGCAGTCTCAGGACCAGCGGGGCAGAAGAGCACTTCCCCTGCTGGATTACCGTCAGCGGGGATCCCAATCTGTCTTGCCAGGCCACTGCTGCTGGGCTCGCCTGGGCTTGTCAGCAGGACTCACATTAAATCCAGGGGAGGACGGAGCTAGATTGAGAGTTGGAAAACACCAGGCCTGGCCAGCTCCTCTGTTCTGCTGCTACTATGCTCATCCAGGTCTGGGGTTTCTAATCAGTTTTCTTTCCAACTTTCAGAGTCCTCTTTTGTTTGACTCTTGTGTTATTTCCAGGGATATAGTTAACACTTAGCTGAGAGGAGCAGGGAGAAACAAGTCTACACAATCTTGTCTACACCTGGAATCTCCTCATTTAATTGTACTACTACATTGGCTGGGTATGAGTGCCTTAAACTCACACAACCCTGACTAGAACAGGCATCCCATTCAACTTTCATTTTTGTAACTTTTAACCGTAAAGGGTGAAAATCTTCCCATGTCAATGGACATGTGTTTGAGTCCCAGTAAATGGCTCCATATTATTTCATTGTGTAACTAAAACAGAAAGTCTAACCAGTCTTCTATAATTAATTTTTTAAGTGTGAGGGTGTTTAAGTGTAAGGCCTCCCCACATTTCTGTCATTTTCTTTTATTTGTTAAATTGAAATCTTAAACTTGCTTTTGATTAGCAGTCAAATCCTGAAGATTAATGGAAGGGAAATAAGACCTGAAAAGGTAAAAGACTTAGAATTAAGTGATTCAAAGTAGTATTTATATTTCATGGGAGCTAAACTACACCCTGACATGGAACAGAATTCAGAACTCTATGGAAGAGAGCTGGTGTCCAGAGGGTTGATGTCACACAGCCTATGGCATAAAAGATGGAACTAGCCCATTCTACTAGCTCTGGCCGAACGGAGACTGCACTTCCAAAAGCGAACTTTTCAACCTTGGATCTTAATTACTCCTAACAGGGATAATTAGATCTATCTTTCTCAGATTACAGGTTTGATAAATTCTTGATAAAATATCCTGTTCCCTAAGTTTTATTTTATTTTTTTACAGTTGGCCTTCATCTAGCTCTGAATGTTTTCACTGTAGTGAGTATGCTTAGCAGTCAAGAGTGTTTTTTCTTCTTTCTTGGCTCACTGTTCCCCAATTTCAGAGTGTTAGATTAAGCAAATTGTTTATTCCAGACAAATTGGATTTCCTTGGAGGATTTAGTATTTAGGAGGAAACATGGCAAAGGAAGGCCTATGGTCTACTAGAAAGACAGAATGGGGGACAAGAGGCTCCTGAAGCAGCTGGTTCCTGGTCTGTGTAGGGCACTACCCATCTCTGAGACTGGGCAAGGGCTTGGCTGGAAGTTTCTAGAATCTCCTTAAACCCCGATATGGCATGACCCAATTATCAGTGGGAGAAGTAAAAAGTTTTTTTTTCCTAAAACACATATTACTTATGAAATGGGTTTGCATAATCTCGGTATTGTCGGACAGTAACATTTCGGAAAAAAGTAATTCCCTTAGTCCCATAAAATACTTTTAAACCTAATGTACAATGAGGGGTGAATTCTGACTCTCGGAGTGAATATATTTCAGGAGACTCAGTATTTGAGAGCAAAATGATTAGCTCCAGTACAGGTCTGTTTGTTATTTACAGTTGCACATTACTGCATGTGCAAGATAAGGATTCTCCCAAGAGTCTGTATTTCTGATTTCTTTCTCTCTGGAGTTGCCTTTCAGTCCTTTTTCATACACAAATATACCTTTTTATCCACTCATGGGCTATCCTAGGCTCCTGGGCCTTTCTGGGAAGATTTACTCATGGTTTACACTCATAGGATCTGTTTGGGGTTCATTCTTTCTCCACTGCAGGAAATATCTGAGGTTGTTAAGGGCTGTGTGGGGAGAAAAGCCACGTTCAGCTTGACTGCACTTCTCTGCCTAGGTGTGTCAAAGATGTTTGATGTCAGGACGAAGATTATGATCGGCATTGGAAGCAGCTTACTGATTGCCACGATTGTGCTGACAAGCATTGTTCTCTGTCTTTACATCAAAGTATCCAAAGCACTAAGGTGAGTCACGTGGGTAAGACTGGACACCTCCTCAAACAGGATACCTGGGCTCTCTGCATGAGCAGGTCCTTCCTCGCTGCTGTGGCCACACCTGGGTGAGGGCAGGAAGAGCAGGCAGCTTTGGAAAGGCAAAAAGGCAGCAGAAGGCCGGGCGCAATGGCCCACACCTGTAATCTTAACACTCTGGGAGGACGAGGCAAGAGGATCGCTTGAGTTCAGGAGTTTGAGACCAGCCTGAGCAAAAGCGAGACCTTGTCTCTACTAAAAATAGAAAAATTAGCCAGAAGTCCATTGCGCGCACCAGTAGTCCCAGCTACTCAGTAGGCTGAGGTAGGAGGATTGTTTGAGCCCAGGAGTTTGAGGTTGCTGTGAGCTATGATGACACCACTGCACTCAACTCGGGGCAACAGAGCAAGGCTGTGTCTCAAAAAAAAAAAAAAAAAAAAGGCAGCAGAGTTAAAACCTTATTTTTTCTCCTTCTGGCTTGGGTTTGTGAGCTCATAAGGTAGAATGTTCTCTGCCTGGGGCTGCATGCCAGTGCTGCTTGGCTGTCACTGAGCTTACCATCTGGTATGTAAATCAGCACCTTGGCTGGGCCTCGCGCTGTCCTGGGCCCTGTAGACTGAAGACTGCGGGACAGGCTGCCCGAGTGAGTCTCTGCCTCGTGCTCATGCACAGGATAGGCTGACCTCCTCTTGCCTGAGCTGGGGCTCTCAGGGTGCTCCCTCAGTCATTGCCAGTGAAATGGGACAGTGAGGTGGGCCTCTAGGACCCTGGGACAGCTGAGCTGTGTGAAGATCCTGGGGGACATCTAATAAGGGGGTATAGGTCAGACAAGAAATGATCAGTTTGGGGAAGACCCTTCAAGTATGGGAGAGATTGGTTGTCAGAAGCAGTTGTGTCCCATTCTAGGGAGTCAGATGGCACATCCCGGAGCCCGGGCACAGCTCAGTGCAGTGTCTTCCCCGTCATTCCTGCCTCTTGAGGGCCTGCAGCGACCAGCTGGGGGATTCCCACTTGCAATTCACTCTCACTTTTGTTGGCTGACTTTACATTTATAGCAATCATAGGAAAGGAAGGGATTAAAGAGGAACTTGGGACACGGGAGGGAGATTTAATCCAGTGCTGGTGTCACATCTTTGACTGGCTCCAGCCCTAAACTTCCCAGATAACCCTGACAACTGCCACAGATGGACTGAGAAGAAAAATTCTAAGCCTGTGCTTTGTGTATGTCTTTCCTTAAGAGCTGCAAAGGAACCTGATATTATAGCCATAAAAGGTAATAGTCTAGCCAAGTTGTGCTGGGTCAAGAACGCCCACGTCAGACCCACCGCCACTGAGTCTTATCCTGTGCTCCAGTGCTGTGACGGATGCCAAATGTATGCAGATTTTGACTCCCTGCCACCTTGCTGCTGTGACATAAATGAGGGACTCTGATTTGGGAAAAGTGGGCATGAAAATCTTCATGAGCAGTACTTCTTTCTTAGTGGGATGTTTTATTATTCAAATAAAGTTCTAGAGTGTTTACATGATATTATATAATGAACAATGTTATTTTATATACTTTTGAATAAATGTGCAACATTGAAAATAATCCTCTCTGTTGTTGGTTATAAACATCCCTTATTTAAATAGATGTATTAACCACTTTGGGACTTGGGGTAACTAGTTTGTAATATTCCATTGCAATAGAAGGAGAGTTAGAGCAGAAAATGAAAGCCTTCAGCACATCTCCAACCCCAGAAGGGAGATACACCTTGATCTCAGGGCATTTCCAATTTCGGCCTCAGCTGATCTTGCCCAGGGGGAGTAGTTGGTGTGGCTCTTCCTCTGAGGGCTTTGGTCAATCACATCCAGCTCCCCCCACGGGGACGCCATTCATCCAAAGGTGGTGAGAAGAGCCAGGTGGGATTTCCCTGGGATAAAGCTGTCTGACCTGTGTGAAGATGGGCTTGAGCTCAGTGGCCTCCAAAGGGCATTTGGAAAACCCAGATTCCTCCTGCTGCCATCGCCCAAATCTTCAGAGCAGGCTGCCTCTTTTGTGGATCAGTGTAACAGTGATTTGTGCTGATCCTGCCAGCTATGTCTTCAGCTGTAACAGGAACCCGCAGGCAAAGCCCAAGCCCAGACCCCCTGGACCACAGTGCGAAAGAAAGGAAACTTACTAAGGACTGTGAGCCCCTTTGATTTTCAGGCCCAGAGAGTCACTGAAACTCAACAGCAGTCATGTCTCACTCCCCTCTGGAGCTAAATAATTACGTCTTAAAGCCACTTGCTAAGTGGGCTCTAGACTGATGCCAAGTAGCCCTAAAATGCCATACGCTGGACACCAGTATATAAATTAGACCTCCTTTTAAAGAACAAACTTGCCAAAACATAAACGTGTATGAGATAACCCTTTTCTTAAAAATAAAAGATGTTAAGCAAAGATTGACAATAAAATAGTTCTATTAAGACAAGTAGCTTCCAGAGGGGATGCATTTATTTTTATATGCAAATAAATCACCCTTCAACAAATATACAGTAGTTATAAGATCTGAAAATTGAGTCTGCCAGAGAGAACTGCAATCTCTGGATTCATATGCCTTAATCCTTCCGTGCAGAGCCTCAGCATTTCATATGGTAAACACGTCAGAAAAGGACTCTGGGGGAGAAAAACATGTATCAGTTGTTCAAAAAGAGAGACTTCCTAATACTATCTGGGGTTACTGAGGTCAAATGAGACGACTGCTCCTGTTTTACACGAAACACCAAATCCAAAGTACTAATCCTAACAAGGAACAGGCCGGTTCTGATTGTTTACTTTCCTATCTACAGCCATGCTGTTATGAAACAAATAATATAAACAAGACCGTGTGAACTAATTTTACACATGCCAAACATCAATTGCATCTTACTCATTATCTCAGATAAACAACACAAAATGTAAATTAGTGATCTGAATTAAAGGTTCCAAGTCTTAACTACCCAATTTTCCAAGACAATTAGAAAAAGAAAAAAAATCAAACACTCTAAGTGTTATTTTTCATATTCCTAAAATTATATAATAAGGTCTTTGTATAAATAAGTCACTTCATACTCTGGTTTCTCTTCAGATCTTATAAATCTTTCGCCTTTTACTAAATAAGTCACTTTAAACACATATACAATACACACTAATGAACGGAATTAGAAATTCTTAAATATTTTAAACACTTAAGCAATACAAGCATGCATAAATTTCTGTAAGAGTGAAAAATCTTGCTAGCAAAAATAATTTATGACTGTATCATGTTAACTCATAGTGTACAGTACTGGATTTACAAGAACAAGTGTAGTAAAAATGAACACTGAGGTCACTTTATGTTAAGTAAGATTATGATCCTTCAAAGGACATTAAATCCTTGTTTTTCAGAAACATTTTTGGGTTTTGGCTTTGTAATAAATATGCAATAGACATCTGCAGTACATTGTATATGTTGAGAGCTTATCTCTCTCCATTTGAAAGTCTTTCTCTGGAGTCATAATGTCTTAGAGGTATCCCGGTGGGTGGGGAGTTGGGATTTTGCAGCAAGTCCATTAACAAAGCAATCTTATCATCTATGTGCTCCTGGAGTTTACATATTCGCTGATCGATGTAGTCTGTAAGTTTCTTTTCCATCAGTTCCATGTTTTTAGAAAGAATCTTTTCCAGGTAGGAGCAAACAGATTGTTCTTCCATTCTAAAAAGCAATTTAAAAAAAATCAAATTTCCCTAGTATAACAAAAACAACCAAGCTATACAACAAGCAGCCAACATGCATGGCTGAAATTTCTCTCCATAAGTATGCTGTCTGCTTACAAGGTATGTCCAGGTTCCAAGTATACCACAAGTGAACACAGTCCTAAATGCCCAACACATTCTTAAATTATTAGATTATACAATTGAAATGGGACTATAAAAGTGAAGATGAACCTTTCAAGAACAATCCTTTAGAAAGGGCTGTTTTGATACTGAGCTCCAAATCAAAACTATTCTTGCCCAATTTTTAAAAAGCCAACATGTATATTTTCCAAGTACTTCCCCAAGCAACCCTACAATTTAAACAGTTTTTTCTTCCTTTATACAAACAACTTTACTAAAGTACTGGAAGGTATTCTAAGCCAATATGAATATAACACTTATGAATTTAACTGGAATAAGCAAATTAATAATAAATAAAAAGCACAGCAGTTCCTAACATTCATATTCAACACTAGTAGAGTGAATCTCAGAGTGTGGTCCACAAAATCCTGGGGTCTCCGTGACTTTTTCAGGGATTCAATGAGGTCAAAAGTATACTAAGATGTTATTTTTTTTTTTTTTTTAAGTTGAAAGTGTTTATTTAAGCCATCTCCTGCCACAAGCAAAGGGATGGGAGATCAGTATACTGGTAATCATTTGATAAAAGAAGGTGAGCGTAAGGTCCCGCACACTTTTTCTGGTCCGTGTGCAGAGTAATGGTCCAAACCAATGCTGTGGTCCCCAGTGCCTGGGTAGTGCTCCAGGTTCTCTTTATTCATCTTCATAGCCAGTTGGAAGCGGATTCACATGAGGGTTGTGGAATAGAGCATGGTTACCATCTCCCCAGGGAAAGGGCTTGGTCCTGATGCGAAGATGGGGGTAGGGGATGAACTCGGGTCTCTCGTGCTCTCTGTGGCGCGACTTCAAGAAGACATTCAGCATGCTCACTCCCGCCCCGGGGAGCGCGACGAAGAAGGTGAGGGCCTTCCACGTGCGAGCTGAGCCCTCTTCGCCGTGGGCGCCGCTCGACATAGGCCACCTCAGCTGTGGGCGGGACCGACCCAGCAGCCCAGAAATCTTGGACACAGCCGCCGCCATTTTCAACCTAAGATGTTATTAATATTTGACTTTTTCATCCTCATACTCTCATGATTATACACTGGCATTTTCCAGGGCTACAAAATGTATAATGTCATTGCTCTGATGACTAATAAAATTTTTAGTTGTGTATTCTTTCCTAAAATTTCTTAAGGTAATAGGTTTAGTGTATAAATATACGCTTTTCCAGAGATTAACCCAGTTTGTTCTCAGTATTGCTAGTATGCTCTAACTAGCTACATTGATTATACATGCCATAATGCAACATATATGACAATGCAGCCAAAAGCTAAACCACAAAGATTTCCATAAATTTAAAACACCATTCTCATTAAACTTCTTAAAAGAAAATTTGGCTGATTTTCATAAAGCTTGTTATTTATGTTTATATTAATAGTGTGTTTAGTATTGTTATTTTTAAACACATATTTTTATACAGCCTACATAAAGATTTTTGTATTCTTCAATTAAGAGTGTAAAGACCACAAAAGTTTGAGAACCACTACTCTAGAATATATCAAGGAGGGATTTTTTAAACACTGTTTATTTTGAAATTATGGATTCACAGGGTTGCAAAGTTAGGAGAGTTCCTCAGTATCCTTCACTCAATTGTCCCAATGGTTACATCTTATCTAACTATAATACCCAAACCAGGAAACTGATATTAGTACAATGTATGTATAGTTCTATCACATGTATACATATTTATCTAAACACTACAATCAAGGGCAGAACTATTCCTTAACTACAAAATCTCCTTCCTGCTACCCCTTTATTGTCGCATTCACTTTCGCAATCCCCTCCTTCCCTAACACCTGGCAACCACTGTATGTTCTCCATCTCTATAATTTTGTTATTTAGGGAATGTTATCTAAATGAGATCACATAGTATGTGACCTCTTGAGATTATACTGTTACTCAGCACGATGCCTTTGTGACCCATCCAAGTTGCTGCTTTTCATTGCCTGTAAGCGTATGAGCATTCCATGATACGCACGTACCACGGTTTGTTTAACCATTCACACACCACATTTTTATTGTTTTCAGTTTGGTGCTCTTACAAACAAAGCTGCTATGAATAATTGTGTACAGGTTTTTGTGTAGGCAAACTTTCATCTCTCTGGGATAAATGCTCAGGAGTATGATTGCTGGGTCATATAGTAACTGTATGTTTAGTTTTTAAGAAACTGACCAAATAGTTTTTAGAGTAGCTATACCATTTTACATTCCCACCAGCAACGTATGAGAGATCCAGTTCCTCCATATCCTTGCCAACATTTGGTATTGTTACCATGTTTAAATTCTAGCTGTTCAAATAAGTATGTAGTGATACCTTGTGGTTTTAATATGCATATCCCTAATAGCCATAAAGTCAATGTTGATCATCTTTTCATTTGCTTATTTGCCATTTGTATACTCTCTCTGGTGAAATGACTGTCTTTTGCCATGTTCTAATTTTGGATTGTGTGTGTGTGTGTTTTTTTTTTAATGTTGAGTTTTGATCAGCCATTTGTTGGATTTGTGATTTGCAAATATTTTCTCCCAGTTTGTATTTTAATCCTCTTAACAAAATCTTTCATGGGTAAAAGTTTTCAATTTTGATGGGGTCCAATATATCGATTTTTTCATCTGATGGGTCATGTTTTTGGTGTCATATCTAAGAAGTCTTTTTCTAGTCCTAGGTCCCCAAGAGTTTCTCCCATAGATTATTAGAAAGGTTTTACAATTTTATATTGTACATTTTAGTCTATGAACCATTTTTTGTGAATTTCTTTATAGGGTACGAGGTTTCAGTCACAACTCATTCTTTGCCTGTGAATATCCAATTGCTCCAGTACCACATGTTAAAAAGACTATCTTTCCTCTGTTGAATTACCTTTATACCTTTGTCAAAAATCAGTGTGCCTCAGTAGACCTATTTCTGTGCTATCTGTTCTATCGATCTGTGTATCTATCCCTTTGTCAATACCACAGTCTTGAATACTGTGGCTCTGTATCTTGAAATCAAGTAGTGACTTCTCTCACTTTACTCTCCTTTTTCAAAATTGTTCTGTAGTTCCTTTATCCATTTTTTCAGAATTTTCCATTTCAAAATTTTAGAAATCATCTCATCCATATTTATAAAAAATCTTGAATTACTGATAGGAACTGTATTAACCTTATATTATCAACTTGGGGAGAACTGACATTTTTAATATATTAAGTCTTCAAATCCATGGACATAGTTTGTCTCTCCATTTTCTTAGGTCTTTCATCAGTATTTTGTAATTTTCAGTCCACAGATCCTGTACATGTTGTTAGATTTATATGTATTTTTACATGTTTTATAATTATTTTTACAGATTTGTATATTTTACATGTATTTACATGTTCAATTTTTGGGGGTAATCTAGTTTTGGTATCATGGTAATGCTGGCTTCATAAAATAAGTTGGGAAATCTTTCCTCTTCTATTTTTTAGAAGTGTGTAAAATTTGTGTTCTTTAAATGTTTGGTAGAATTCTCTAGTGGAAACATCTGGGCCAGGATATACCTTTTTCATGAGCTTTTCAATGACAAATTAAGTACTTTTAATAGTTATAGGACTATTCCATTTCCTATTTCATGTTGGTTGAGTTTGGTAGTTTGTAGTTGTTGAGGAATTAATCCATTTCTTCTAAGTTATCAAATTTATGAGCATAAAGTTGTTTGTCATATTTATTATTGTATCTTTTTAATGGCCTTAGGATCTGTAGTGATATCCTGCTACATTGCTGATATTGGTGATTTGTGTCTTCCCTCTTTTATCTTTGCCAGTCTTGCTAGAAGTTTACCAATTTATTAAAATTTTCAAAGAACCAGTTTTGCTTCCTTGATTTATTATTTTCCTGTTTCTGAGTAAACTGATTTATGCTCTTTATCATTTCGTTCTTTCTCCTTGCTTTAGGTTCATTTTGCTTGGATTTTAAATTATGGATTCAATTTCTTTAATGGTTATAGGTCTATTCAGATTATCTATTTCATCTTGGTTGAGCTGTTCTAATTTTGTGCTATTGATTTGAGAACTTTCCTCTTCTAATGTAATCATTTAGTGCTATCAATATCCTTATCAACACTTCTTTAGCTGCATCTCACAAATTTTGATCTGTTGTATTTTCATTCATTTCCATGTATCATTTTTAATTTCTGTTGAGATTTCTTCTTGAACCATAGATTTATGTGTGTTGTTTCATTTCCATGTGTTTCGGAATTTTCTTCTTGTCTGTTACTGATTTGTAGTTGGAGAATATACTTTGTATGATTTCAATCCTTTTAAATTTGGTTAGATTTGCTTTATGACTCAAGATATAATCTATATGTGACTCTTCCATGGACACTTGAAAAAATGTATACTCTGCTATTGTTGTTACAGCCTTCAATAAATGTCAGTTCAATCCTGTTGGTTGTTAGTGGTGTTTAGTTACAAAATAATCCAGCTACCTCATTTTCAGATAAAAACTCTAAACTGAGGAAGATTAAACAGTATGGCAAAATGAGTAAGCCAAAACTATGACCAGAGTCCTGAATTCCAGTCTAGAACACAATTTTGACACACTATACCTATGTAAAGAATTAGGAACATAATAAATACCTAGCTACCTCTTAATCAAATATGTGTTGCCAAAATAAAGGATTAAGAGATCAGGGGTAAAGCTTGTATACTACAATTATCATCCTAATATAGTTTATTATTATTCAGAAATTAGCCTAGACCAAACATAATCTACAAAGAAAACCTTTTACAATGGCATATTAAACATACCTAGGCAGAAAATAGTACAAACATAAATAAAACAATGTAAAGATTATGATTCCCACAGCTCCTCTCTATTCATGCAAATCAATTTCTACTCCAACATTCAGCTAGTACTCATAACCCTTCCAACAAATGCCTGAGAAGTGTGCAACACATCCAGCTATAGGCACTGAATTTCAAAGCAATCCATTCTACTCTGTAGTTATTCCCTATAAGTGTATTAATAGTAAAATGTAAAAAAAAAAAATGGCTGCTAAAATTTTCTCTGGAAACAGATTTTCAGGAGTACTCACTGAGACAAATCTGTTTCCCTTCATCTGATTCTCCCAACTACCAGATTACATTTGTCTTAAAATAATACTTACCCAACACCAAGAATGCCTTCACTGGGCTTGGTGATGTTTTCCTGCCACTCAGCCTTATGTCCCACATGGAGATGATTAACTTGACTACACAAATTCTGGAGAAAAGGCAGCAACTCAGAGTTAGGTATATTTGAGTTGTCAATTGTTTTCTTTGGTAAGAAAGAGGATACTGCATTTTTAAGATCTTTTTCAAGAAGGGAATGATTTTGTGGCATAATTTTACATTCGCTAAGGTTTGCAGTATTCCCCTGACCAGGAAGCTGTGTACTTTTATCAATGTAAGCTTTTAAGTTTTCTGTCACATTTCCAGACATCAATCCAGTTCTGAAAGGAAAAGGTGTGGAGGATGACTTGTCTAAGGCTCCTAACGTAGATGATGAGTGCAGTCCAATCACATGCTTGTATCCAGGATTTCCCAAAACCGACTGAAGCTGTTCTCCAACGGGAATGCAATTCTAAAGAAGGTAAATAAGTAAACATTAATATGAATAATACTGACAGCTAAATTTTGGAGTAATTAATATGAGCCAGGCACTGTGCATTCTTTTATTTGATACTGAAAACATCCTTATGAAATAGGCTACTATTCATATCCCAGTATTAATTGGAGGAGACCAAGGCTAATGATGACCTGGCCAAAGTAACACAGCTAGTGAGTTGCAGAACTGGGGACACGAATCTAGGCTAACTTCACTCCACAGTCAGGGCTTTTAATCATTTCACTGTAGTTTTCCTAAAGAAAATATTAAAATAAATACTAGCATGCATAGTAAAATTACATTGACATATCTTAATGTTTTCACTACAAAGGCCTCTTTAATTCATGGTGATAAAATATAGTACTCTCAATTGAGTCACAAGAATTGATCATTTTCTTAGAATTCAATTATATTATTCCCAACTTTCAACATTATGGTAAGCTACTCATTTTTACATAGTCATATATTTTGCAATGAGTTTTTCATGGAAGCTATACAGATAGGTACACTATTTAAAGCTGTATGTTCTATGGGTACATTTGTGACATTTTCAGTGACTAAAATGTGCTACCACTTGGCTGTGTTTGCTGTAAGAATTTCTAGGATAATAAGAGTTATGTTTTACAGACTCAACTGCTCATGCAGTATTATTTCCAGAGAAGATTCTGGCTTACCTTGAAGAGGTTACAGTATCTCCCTTTTATGTTCTTCAATTTTTCCACTAGAGAAAAGCAAAATACCTCTAGCCTAACTAACTCTTAAGCATTATAGCTCTATTCTAAATTCAAAACATAGATGTCTACTATAGATTCTTATCAGAGGATATCATCCCACACTTACTGCTGTTCAACAGCTAGTGAGAGATAGACTGAAAAAAGTAACACGCAAGATTAGCTGAAGAAATTCAGTTCATATATTCATCTAGATATTCTAAAAAAGTACTGCTAGACTAAGTCAGGCCAACATTCATTTATTTAACAAATATTTAGCAGGAATCTACTCTATGCTAGGTATTGTTTCAGGCACTGGAAATACAGCAGTGAACAAAACAAATTAAAGTCCCTTACCTCATGGAGCCTACGTGACAGAGGAGTAGGAAGAGACAGACCACACAGCAAGGAAGAAAGAAAATATATCATAGGATAGAGATGGGGATAAATACTTCAGGGAAAAATAAAGAAGGAAAGGGAAATAATGAGGGCCAGAGAAGGTGGGGGAGGACTGTACTGTTATGCTCCTATCCAACTTCTTTTACTAAACTGCACTTTGGAAAAATGCTCTTTATAGAGAAATGTTAACCTGTTGTCAATTTATCTTCAAATTCAACTTTTGAATAAACCTGAATATTTGAATATTCCTAGAACAAGATGGATCATACATAATTATATTTACAAAATGTTAACATTAGACAACTTTCCATAAGGTCAAAAAAACTTTACTCAGTCATAATGGAAAAACTCACTTATTTCTCTGTATTTCCAAAAATTATATTACAGAAAATAGACAAATCTAAACTAACAGTAATGATATTTATACTAGAGTCAATGTCAAAATTATGGGTGATCATTAAATAGGCAGAAAATTTAAACTGAAAAATCTAAATGTAAAGATATTTGCTATGTAAAATTTTCTGACATACAGTATTTCTGATTGTTTATAAGAAATGCACTGATTATAAAAATTAGTCATTGGTAAGAAAGTAAAATGGTATAGCGCTTATGAAAAATAGCACAGAGGTTTCTCGAAAAATTAAAAATGGAAGTACAATATGATCCAACAATCCCACTTCTGGGTATATATCCAAAAGAACCGAAGTCAGGATCTCAAAAGAGACATCTGCACTTCCATGTTCATTGCAGCACTAGTCACCATAACCAAGACACAAAAACAACCTAAATGTCCACTAACCGATGGCACTGATAAAGAAAATATGGTATATACATACAACGAAATACTATTCAGCCTTTAAAATGAAGGAAATCTTGTCATATGCGACAAAATGATGAATCTGGAGGACATTACAAGTGAAATAAGCCAGTCACAGAAGGAGAAATAATGCATGACTTCACTAACATGAGGTTCTAAAACAGTCAAACTCATAGAAACAGAGAGCAGAATGGTAGTTGCCAGAGGCAGAGGGAAAAGGGGAAATAGGAAGTTGATATTCAACAGGTATTAGTATAAAGTTTCAGCTATACGAGATGAACAGGTTTCAGAAATCTGCTGTACAACACTTCAGTTAACAATAACATTGTGCCATATGTTTCTCATTAACAAAAATTTGTTAAGAGGGTATATCTCATGTTAAGTGTTCTTACCACAATGAAAAAAAGTCATATTTTCTGAGATGTGAGCTCTTTAGGTGATTTTTTTCTCTTTAGATTAAACATCAAGAAATTCACAGGTAAGTACATGCCACTATGGGAAATGAACAAACCCCAGGTGCCTGGCTGCTATTCCTCTACTTCTTTTTATATGTGCTTTTTCAATTTTTATTTTGACTTGTCCCGGCATATATTGTTTTGTAAGCCGCATCAAATCCTTTTGAAAGTAGATGGTTAAATACATATTAAATAATTTAAAAAGCCTACCCTTTGCTAGAATAATTCCACTCGAGAAATTTACCCTAAAAAGATACATGAACAAGTATGCAAAAATAGATGTTCCAAGTTCCCTCTATGCACCACTATGCATGCTGTCAAAAAAATCTGAAGAAATATTCTAAATATTCATGAATAGAAAACTGACTGTATAACAGAGTATTCATAAAAATCACAGAAAGATGTATTTATTGCTTAGTAAGAGGCCTGATATCCTTTTAAGTGAAGAATGTTACTGAGCAACATAATACAATATGAAAGCATTTAGATAGATTGTGTCCATATAGTTATACATGTAAAGAGCTATATGTATGTATATGTGTGTATATAAACTACATATGTTGTATACAGTGATTTCTGAAAAATTAATAGTTTATCTGAATATATTATAGGAGTTATAAAAGTATGACTTTTCTATACTTTTTTGTTTTTTTAATTATAAAATATTCAAACATGTATCACCTTTAATAATCAGAAAAAATAAATAAGGTCATTTTGAAGGGGAAAAAAAGAATATTAATGGCCGGCGTGGTGGCTCATGCCTGTAATCCTAGCACTCTGGGAAGCCGAGGCAGGAGGATCACACTTGAGTTCAGGAGTTTGAGACCAGCCTGAGCAAGAGCAAGACCCCGTCTCTATTAAAAATAGAAAAAATTAGCCGGGCGTGGTGGTGTATGCCTGTAGTCCCAGCTACTCAGGAGGCTGAGGCAGGAGGATCACTTGAGCCCAGGAGTTTGAGGTTGGTGTGAGCTAGGCTGATGCCACTGCACCCTAGCCTGGGCACAGACCAAGACTCTGTCTCAAAAAAAAAAAAAAAGTATTGACTCCTGAACAATTGAATGTTTTCTTTGAGAAAATGGGCCAAATCCTTTTATTCAACTAACATTAAATGACAACTATATACTTTGATATAGAATTCCTATTCAATTATTCTAAATTGCTAAAGTGAAAACAAATCAAAGTCAGCAATCTGAACTACAAATACAAAGAAATAAGAAATACTCTAATATTTATTGAGATATCATGAAGGTTTAGATTGCATTTCATATTCACATTGACTCAAGAGTATTGAACTTTAATAAAATTTTCAAGAAAACAAATAATTCCACGGCACAGGTGAAGCAGGGAGAGATCGAGACTTCTAATGCAGGTCCCCAGGTCCTTCCTTTCCCTCAGGACAGGCCCTGCCTAGACAATGTGTGTGATCACACCACTTACTCAGGAGCCATTTTGGTCATGAAACATCCCCATTTTATGCTCAAATATTTAAATGGTTTTCATGACCTTTTCCATGCCTTAGAAATCCACAGAGGCCTAGTATGTTAACAATAAGCAATCCTAGAGAACCAGAATACATGTGAGTGATGCACTGTGCTATGACAACACTGGCTGATAGGAATTTTTCAGCTAAGGACTTTCTTGCTAGAAAGGAAGTCTTTCATTAGCATGTTTAAAAGTACATTGAACTCGATCACCTTCTTTCTTCCCCAGGGTGTCCCTCAAATGCATTAGTGGTGGGAAGAAAGCAAGTTACAGCACCATGTACACAGCACTTATCCATAAGTGTTGGCTGGGGATTTTGCGGGGGTGGTGGTGCAGCCTTATGTGTGTTTCTATATGCATAAAAAACTCTAGAAGGATATATATCAAACTGTTACCTGTGGTTACTTCTGGGGAACAGAATGACAGCTGAGAAAACACTTTAATTTTTTACTGAACACTTCTGTATTGATTAAAATTCATGGCAATGAAAACTTTTTATAGAATAAAACCATATTAAAATTTAAAGATATAGCCAAAATAAATATTTGCTATGTAATTTCATTTTTTTTCCAAAGTCAAGTTTTTAAAAGATAGAAATTGGTAAGTAAGCTAGTTATAGTTAACTAATCATTCCAAAATCATTTCACAAAGAATTTTTTCCTTTTTAAAATACTCCTCTAAAAGTTATTCTCAAACTACAAAGTACATAGACTCACCTAGGTATGAGTGTTTAAAATCCTGATTCCCAGACCCTACCCTCTGGGATTGAGTAGGTAGTAAATGAGGACCAGGAATCTGCATTTTGAAGCCATTCCAAAGGATTCTGACACAGATGTTCTATGGATCACACTTGAAAAATCACTGCCCTAAACTATTAAAAAAGCTCTGATCACACAAGCTTGACAAATTCTTCCACTATGCTCACTATCTCCTTACACAACTGTCTTCCAATTTCTTCTTTTAATCTAAATTTCTTGAAAAAACCCATTTGCGATCAGTAATTCCACATCCCAATACCCAGTTCCTACCTAATCCCTCATAATCTGGTTGACATCTCATCACTATTCAAACTACCCCCTGAAGATCTCCAAGAAATATTTGGTTGATAAATCCAATAGACACATATAGTCATGTACCACACAATGACGTTTAGGTCAACAATGGACCCCATACACAATCGTGGTCCCCTAAGATTATAATGGAGCTGAGTAATTCCTATCAGCCAGTGGTGGCATAGCATAACACATTACTCACATGTATGTAGTGATGCTCGGTGTAAACAAACTTACTGCACTGCTACATAAAATTATGTACAGTACATAATGCTTGATAATGATAATAAATGTATTGGTTTGTGTATTTATTATACCATTAATCATTATTTTGGAATATATTCCTTCTACGTATATATATAAAAAAGTTAACTGTAAAACTGCCCCAGGCAGGTCCTTCAAGAGGTATTCCAGAGGAAGGCATTATTATCATAGATGACAGCTCCATGCATGTTATCACCCCTGAAGATCTTCCAGTGGGACAACATGTGAAGGTGGAAAATAGTGATATTGATGATTATTACTATGTGCAGGCCTAGGCTAATATTTGTGTTTGTGTCTTCGTTTTTAACAAAAACATTTAAAAAGTAAAAAAATACTAAAAACTTCAAAAATAGTAAAAAGCTTATAGAATAAGGAGATAAAGAACATATTTTTGTACAGCTATACAATGTGTGTTGCAAGTTCAGTGTTATTATGAAAGAGGAAAAAAGTTTAAAAAATTTAAGTTTATAAAGTAAAAATTTACAAAATAGCTAAGGTTAATTTATTATTGAAGAAAGAAAATTATGCTTTTATAAATTTAGCATAGCCTAAGTGTACAGTGTTTATCAAGTCTACAGTAGTGTAATCTCCTAGGCCTTCACATTTACTCGGTGCTTACTGACTCACCCAGAGCAATGTGCAGTCCTGAGAGCTCCATTCAACTAAGTGCCCTATACAGGTGCACCATTTTAAATCTTTCATATTTTTACTGTACCTTTAAATTTAAATTTTTTATTTTAGATATTGAGGTCTCACCATGTGACCCAGTATGTTCTCAAACTCCTTGGCCTCAAGCAATCCTTCTACCTCAGCCTCCTGAGTAGCTCGGATTACATGTACAAGTCACCACGCCCAGCATTTTACTGTATCTTGTCTATGTTTAGATAATGTTTAGATACACAAATATCACTGTGATACAATTACCTATAGCATTCAGTAGAGTAACATGCTGTACAGGTTTGTAGTCTAGGAGCAAGAGGCTATACCATATAACATAAGGTGGGCTATACCATCTAGGTTTGTGAAAGTACTCTCTGATGTTTGCACAGCAACGAAATCACGTAAGGATGCATATCTCAAAACGTATCCCAACTGTAAATCAAGGCATGACTGTATACATATAGGTACTTGGATCCATAAACAGGATAGACAAGTCTCTGTATGCATGAAGTTTAGACTTTAGTGAGACTAACAAGCCACCAATACATAAAAAACAAACTGGTCAGAAGGGCACTGATGAACTATGATATAGATTTGTAGGTACATGCTACTTTAAAACTCAGTGGCTGGGAAAGGTCACATTAAGGATGTAACTTAAAATGAGATCTGAATAATAAAACAGACACAAAAGTATCACAAGGTACAGTTACAAGTACAAAGGTCCTGAGGTAGAAACACATTTGGACATTTGGGGAATATACACATCACGTCTGGAGCAAGGTGCCCAGGGAAATGTGGCAGGAGATGAGGCTGAGGAGGCAAGCAGGACCCACATCCTAGAGGTCAGGGTAGAGAATCAAGATTAATTCTAAGTGTGATGGGAAGCAGCAGCAGGGTCTACAGAAGGCCAAGATGAGATCTCCTCACCCTTTCAGATCATTCTGGGTGCACTGTAGCAGCAGGAAGACCAGACAGGAACCTCCTGAGGCATCCAGGTGGGAGAATGGTGGAGGAGGAAAAGAAGTAGATTTCCTTCTTTTTCTGAAACCCTCCCTTCTGTGGTTCCCATAGTCTTTAGCTCTCCTGGTTCTCTTAACTCTGCCCATAATCCAACACGAGTACTAACTTAGTATTTGTAAACCTCGCAATATTTATAAGGAGTTCTTTACCTGCATTACTTAAATTTTCACATCAGTACTGTGACCTTTACAGTATTATCAATTAGATTTTGTACATAAAGAATTCAAATTGAAAAAAGAGTATGAATCAACTTGCCAAAGGATGCAGAATAAGAGACAGAACAAGAACTTGAAGTTGCCTTGCCTGACATCAAATCCTTTCTCTTGCTACTCTATCACACTGCTGTCTACTACTCTTCTGGTTCCCTTTTCCTCTCCCTGTATCCTTACCAAATGTAGCAACTCTGCAAGGTCTTTCTTCCTTGCTTTGGTCTCTCTCTTCACCACGTTCTCTGTTGCTTACTGTGGGTACACCCCTAAACCCCTCTTCCAGCCACTGAAGGTTCACTCCACTTCTCACAATCCTGTTTCCAAATGCTTGCAACACCCTTCCAGCTAATGTCTTATTCACAGCTAAAACTCAATATTCCCAAAATAAAACTCCTTTTCCCAAGTGTTGCATTTATATTACTGATATTGCCATCCTCAAAACCTCAATTTCACATTTGATTCTACTTTTCTCCTCTAATATCAAGTTAGTTGTCAAGTCCCAATGGATCCATTGTTTTAGCATCTCACAATCCAGCATCATGTTACTATGTGCAACCTTAAACCCTCATTAACTCTCATCTGGACGAGAGAAATAATGTATAGCTGGTCTCTTTCTTCTAGTCTTATTTTCTTGATTCACCTTATACAAAACAGTGGAATAAAATTTCTTGAAACATAGGTCAAAAACATTCACAACTTGAAAATACCATTCAAAGCTCTCTATGTTCTAGCTCAAAACTACTATAAACTTCCTTGTTACTTCTTTGTTCCACAGAAATAAATTACTATTCATTTCCCAGCTATATCCAGTTCCTCTAGCATTTAAGATTTTATCCGCCTCATTTTCTTTGTCTGAAATGGCCTCCCTCCAGATTTACTTGTCCAATCCCACCCTTCTTCAAACGTCTAGATAAACTGCCACTTCCTTTAGTAGCCTTGCCTGATCTACCTCATCGCTCACTACTTACATGCTCTAGACTATAAAAAATCTTTAAAACCAGGCTATAGACTAACTGATCATCATTGCAACCTCAAAAGTGTTCAAACCAGTGCCTTGTTCACTGTGAAGGTGTCTAATAAATACTTCCGGAATGAATGAGTGAATAAATTCATGAAAAAGTGTGAAGATCTGTAGTCAAAACATTTTGTAGGAAGGTAAATCTATAAAAATGTGACCTTTATGAAACTAAATAAAGGTAAATCAATTAAATCAGTTAAATCAATAAAAATTCAAAAAAAAATTTAAGTCACTACATTTCCTTATTTCCATTTTGAAATTTTTAATGATATCTGGAAAGAAATTCATTTCTACTTACCTGCTGCTGGAATCTAACCATATTCATCAGTTGCTGGGCTCCAGGTGATAACTTTGATCCCATGGATTCCATTATGCTTTGAACCTTGTCAAGGTCTATCCTTGATCCTAGAGCAGGAGAGCTTTTTGACGAATTTGCCAAAAC